GATGCATGATAAAGCAGTGTATGCCCTGTGTTGTTACATAGTTGATCAGCTGTGTATTCATGTCTTGATTATTTAAATCAATAAATGATGTGGCCATTTCAGCCCTCAAACTCAGTGTGGTTACAGAATATTTATTTTTTAAATTCAGTTGACTCTGTTGCCAGGCTCAGCATTCCTTATGGACTTTCATAAAAAGTTATTCTGAAGCTGCATTTCTTAAATTTGTCTGAACTCCTGAATGAAAAACAACTGCACTGTGAAATAACACCAAAACTGCCACAGTGGCTGAATTATTGCAGGGTGACTTTATGAATACAGCTTCTTCTGTAGGTTGTGGTCACACAATGAGGCCCTGTGCAGGTTATCAGTTTATTAGTAGTGCTGGGACTTTGGGATTTGCAGCAATTCTTTGTGCTGCAACAAACTATACAAGCCAAAATATGATTCTGTCCTACAGAATTCTGGGATTAATTTTTTATTCATCAGGGAACACAAAAGAAATACTAGGAATGCTCTGAAAACCTAATTGTACAGTAATGTTAAACATACCAGTGTTTATTGAAACACCCAAGCTGTAGTCAGGTCTCCAAATCTCTCAATTTGGCTGAAAGGTTTTCTATCTACTTCATTTTTATAACCTCTGTGTATAAATTAGCCATGTGCAAGATATGCAATTGATTAAGTGAAACACTCTGAGGAAGGTTAACTCTTCATGCAGGGTACAGAACAGCTACTGCGGACAAATGCTGCTGATAACTATTGCTGCTGCTGTGTTAGAAGATCATTCTTCCTTAAAATCATTTCAGTTCCTTAAATTTAAAAAAATATATTAGTACAAATAGTACTCAGAAATGTTTAAATAGGTTCTGATTCTTTCTAGATTTGTTTCCCAAGCTTTGTCTTCTGGAGTGGCAATAATTTCTGAGTGATTTCTGAGTGCTGGAACTAATGGAAATTCTCATTATCTCCAACAGACTTTTCTGAAAAGCTCAGTCTTTCAGCCATTCCAAAGAGCATAATCTTTCTAATTAAGCTATTAATTATTCTGACTGTTTTGGGGGTTTAAAGAGCTAGTTTAAAAATACCATCATTAATTTTTGCTTATCTTCAATGTTGGTAAACATTGGCAGGTCCTGCCTTGTGAAAGCTGTTTCTTTTACTTCTGGGACAAACTCTTTGCACCGAACACAAATCTAAGAGAATCCTTGTCA